AGTAATCTAATCTAGGTCTACCTCTACCCCTCCTAACTCCTGTTTCTGCCTCTAATATGTCTCTGACTAGACCTTCATGCCTGAGAAGGTGTCCTACCAACCTATCTCGTCTATTTTTTATTGACTTCCATAGAGTCCTCTGGTTTCCTATTCTTTCTAATACCTCTTCATTTCTAACCTTCTCTATCCACGGTAACATCATCAAATTATTTTAAAAAGGATTATAACCAAACCTAAAAGAGTTGGATAGAAATCTTCAACAACTGACGACCAAATCAATTATGAGTGGAATTCAAAAAGTATCTGTTTAAAAGCCACTTATATTTGCTACTTGATCATAATGTAAGGATAAAGAGCTCAAATTAAAAAAAAAATTAAAAAATTGTCTCTTCCGTGACAACGTTTCGAGAACGTTGCCGTGACCAGGATTCGAACCTGGGTTACTACGGCCACAACGTAGGGTCCTAACCACTAGACGATCACGGCTACTAGAGACGGTGATGGATTACCTATTTTGACGAAAATAAGTCGCTTTCCATACTCAACTTTCACCTTTACTGATTACGTCACAGCGCATTGTTTCTATAAAGCTTCAAGGCATTTATGAATGTCCAACTTTACGAGACGACCCAAAGCGAAGCAGGAAAAGCGAAGAAGCAACAAACCGTGCGATATAGTGATGAATTGTAAGAATTTATAATGCAATAGCATTTAACGTTGTTATCTCCAGAATTCTGAATTAAGATCTCAGATTCTCAAAGGAAAAAACATGACGATTGACAGCAATGTAAAGGAACTGACGGATTTGAACTACGGAGAACACAGATTCTTCACGTGAATTTCAAGAAAAATGTATTAAAGTTTCAAAAATAATCTAACGAAACATTTTCCAAACACCATGATGAATAATAAGGCTTATCAACACTATCGCAGACAAAGATTCCTCGTTGTGAGCAAATATTGCTAACAATCTGTCCAACTGGAGAAGTTAACCACACATTAATTAAACATTCAATTAATCTAGGCGATCATGGCTACAAGAGCCAGTCATGTATTTCTTATTTTTACGAAAATAACGTAAATAAGATGACGTACTCAAATTTCCCCGCTATCCATTACGTCATAGCGCATTGCTGGGTGCATTTATGAGTGTTATAACCTCCAGCAAAGTTCTAGCATTACTTGTCAATATTAAGACGTTGAAGTTTAAATTTCTAAAATTATTGACAGAATTCAAAGCGAATAGTTGCTTATGATATCAAAAGGATTCTGAAGCAATTGATGCAAATGAACTACTTCTATGACAAGTTCCTTAGACCACGTCCAGTTTTAAAAATGTTTTATAACAAATACTTAATAAAATTATTCAAAGAATTGACATTGTTTTATTGTTTGAAATGTAGGGGTACTAAATACACTTTAAAAGGGTTTAAGTCCTATTTGTAAGACACTTTGAGTTAAACTTTAAACATAAACCTAACCCCTAATGCCACATTAGAGGCTGTTGGCAAAATTCCAATTAGACAAGAGCAGTGACAGTAACATTGCGGTATCCATCACCCTAATTTCTACCCCAACTCATACCGTTTTTATGGCCAATATAAGCTTTTGATTGCTTGCATGTGTTTATTGCCAACCGCACTGTTTGAAGGATTCCAAAGAGATTACGGGGCTGTACCCGAAAAGATTTATCTTGTTGCTATTCTCAACATAACCTCAAATAAATGCAGGAAGTACGTACATTTTATATGAAGATGGTAAAATTGACAAACTTA